ATCACCATCATCATTTTGCCAAGCTGGGATCCATTGCAGAGCCTCACATGTACAAGGCATGTGCTTTACCACTTGAACCACAATTCCAGTCCCCAATAGACACAATAAGTCTGTGGGGTTGAGGCACATGATTTCATGTGGGTCATCCCTGGTTTGATCCCCAGTTTCAATATGTGTGACTTGAGAGGGTCTAAGCACCACAAGGGTGGCCCCAATAATTCCCAGCATTATTGGGCTCAAATATCACTGCTTTCTCATATCCTCCTGGAATCACTGACCCTGGTGGCAGATGATAACTGGGAGGGAGGGGCCCCTGTATTTCCTGCACACTTTTTTGGAAGCCCCAAATACCCCCAAACATCAATCTATAAGCTTTCTCACTATTGTATCATGCATATATACATATAAAAACAAATATATAATCTAAGAAAAGGCAGGAGAAGTAAAGCAAAACACCAATAAATATGGATAGTATGTCTGACTACATGTTCCATTCTTTATCCACCAGCCTGAGCTGTCCAGGAACTTGAAACATGAGAACCAGTGAGATTTAGTCCATTACATCATCAATAATCCAACAGTCTTTCCATTAAGGAGTTAGCCTCTGCCTGGGTTATTTTAGACCTGGGGCTTTTAGGGAGGAAGAGTGACATTATTTGCTCTACATCTGAAACTGGTTTATATCTGCCTGAAGCCAGCTTGGAGACCTCCAAATCCCTTTGTCTGTGAAAGACTAGGAAATAAATCTGAGTGATGAGCGTGATCACTACATCATCGTATAGACAATCTTCTCATTTTTATGAAATTTACCTCTACTCTGTAATCTTATTTTTGCAGAATGAGAAAAGAATAGTTATCATTGCTCATTCCCTCTTGGGTGCTATAATCATTTTTTCAATTATTGTAAGTGAAGAATTACAGTCTCAGAAAAGATGATGTAGCTTATCCCTCCTCCCCCACTTCTCTCACAACCTAGTATTTTCATTTCATTATTAAATGTACTCAACATTTTTGTAGCTGTTTCTTTCATAGAATTTTCATGATTTTAATAGCTTGAAGGAATATATATAATATATATATATATATATATATATATATATATAGTATGTATGTATTTCACTCTCTTCCTAAACTGTGGTCATTGATAGCACTTGTTGCTGTTACATTAGCCATTTTAAATACTATTATTATCTTTTTATTTGGACAGATTATTTTCTAAAGAGCCAAAGAGAACTCTAACATGATTACTGAATGTTTATGATTCTTAGTTACTTATTTTTGAACATTAGACGGTTGTTTAGGCTCAGTGAGCCAGTCACTTCCCTTGTAATACAAACCTGATGTTAATTATACCTTTTGTCTAATGTAAAAGTATAATGACACTATACTTATACTTCAGTAAGTATTCAATACATGCTAAATTTATATCATAGGCAGCTTGGTGTGCTTAAAAAGTGAGCCTTTTTGTGCAATTCCAAACTTTTTGGATATAATTATTAACTGCCCTTGTGTTATTTTCATTTCTGAGACTTCCTCTTCATCCATTGAATGATTATTCCATTACTGTGAATTAGAAATGAGAATGAAGCTTCTACCTTACCAGTGACAGTGTAAAAACAAGTAGTTTTTCTTATATTGTTTATTGCCTAAATTTTTATTGAGCTTTTCTTTAAACACATTTGAATTCATCCCTGATTACTTTCTTGTCTCTTAGGTTTCACATCTTGATTTTATTATCACTTTTATAGACTATTTTTTGTGTTAAGGTTAACCTTCGAACTAAAGTGCATTTTGCATGCAATATATTCCTCTCTTAAGAATTGAGTAACATGCATCAGCAGCATTCTTAAATGTCAAATATGGATTATCATTGCTCTTCCTTATCCCTTTAATTCAATAGATAGGCCTAAGGCAAAGTGAAATGAACTTGATGGCCATGTATCAGATGGTAGAAACAATTTGCCATTAGTCAGGAATGTAATTTTCACCTGAGCTCAGTAGATGACACATATTTTGTTTTCTCACTAGTTTAAGATGATGATCTTCAGTTATTCTAGATTTGATTAGCATCTTTACTATGTTCCGCATTTAAGATTATATATTTTGTTTAGCTAATCTGCTTTTCCATTTTCCCTAAGCAAAACCTAGGCAACGATATTCTTCGCTTAGATAAAAATTTATATAATGCAACTGATGTAGACACCAGAAATATTTCACTTTGAAAGCCACTCTTAAAGTTATTTACTAGTGCTTGAGTGGAGGTAATGTGCTGAGGATTCATACGAGCAATATGAAAATGCAGGCTACATATTGAAAAAATGGGAGAAGTGGGTGGATATAAGTCAGGCAACCATTCAATAGTTTGCTACAGTAATTCGCTATAAATATCTAATGCCTAGCATCATTATTATTATTAATAATCCAATTAATGGTCATGTGATTTTTTAATTGTAATAAATTATAAGTCAGAATACTTACCGTTTTTCATATACTTACCAAGATGTTGCCTTGTATCTATTAGTTATAGCCCCTCCAATATTTACCCTTTTCAGTTGTACTAATCAGTGTTACTCATGAATTTCTTTTGAGGAAAATGAGCTAGTCATGTATCAAATTAATAATACTAAGTTTCAAAGCAAATTTTAAACAAACAATTCCTGGCTTGGAACAAAATAGTTCACTTTCTGAACTGATTTCCAGGTATCAACAACTTATATAATAAAAACTGAATTTCAGAAGCATAGAGTTGGTATATCCATGCATTATTTTCTGAACAGAAAATGTATAGTTTTCCTGAAAATAATTAAAATTTTTAACAGATGAATCATAGAAACCATATTAAATACAATGATTATCACTTCTAAAACCTGACTTTATGAATACTGTAAGACTCAAAGTATCATTTCAGGTTGATTATAAACAAAATAAATACTATGGAGCCATCTTTGAGCTCTTCCCATGTATTTAACATCAGCTTTATACTCACTTTAGAAATCACTCTAGAAATACATATTTTGGTGTAATTTCTCATAAATTGCTTTTAAAATGCAATATCTTATTAAATTAAGAATTAAATATAAATAATAACATATGAAAAATTAGTTTAATAATTCAAGTTAATAAATTACCCAAGTTAATAAACTTTTAATACGTTAGGGATTATGCATACATTTTCTGTTATATAAATGATCTCATAAATAAAAGAAAACATCTGTGCTTAATCCTCCCATTTTAACCACCATAACCATTTTATATATTCTAATCTATTGTCTTTGTCAGGATATTTTTGGTTTTTTTGTATCTCATCCTGAGTGTGGGCTTTTATCTAACCAAATCATTCTTACAAGTAAGAGTAATATTTTTTTTTTAGTTGTCATTTTATGGGCTGGAGTGATAGCACAGCGGTAGGGCGTTTGCCTTGCACGCAGCCAATATGGCTGACCCTAGTTTGATTCCTCCTCCCCTCTTGGAGAGCCCGGCAAGCTACCGAGAGTATCTCGCCCGCACGGCAGAGCCTGGCAAGCTACCCGTGATGTATTCGATATGCCAAACACAGTAACAACAAAAGTCTCCAATGGAGCCGTTACTGGGCCCACTCGAGCAAATCAATGAACAACGGGAGGACAGTGACAGTGACAGTCATTTTATGATATTAAATGTGAAGAATTGTTCTCAGAATTAGAAGAACATCCATAAGTGTGAGTGGAGGCATATATTTTTGTCTATACATTACTATTATTACCAGCATTTATTTTTAAGTAATGGGATGAGCAAAGTGCACTTTAAAGTGCAGGAAACACAGATTAATTCATATCTGTATTGCCAGTGCTAGAGTAATATGAGAATATGATTTAAAGGAAACCAGTTCTTCCTTAAAGCAAAATGTATAACCAATATGGAATAGTACATTTTGAAGTACTCTCTGATGATGCTTCTAGATTGAAAAATCTATCATTATGACAATTAGCTAAACTATAAAGCTCTGCTTGAAAGTAATGAAGATTATGTATCTATTGCCTACTCTTAAAAAAAAACGGGAGGGGGGTAACTAATATATTTGTAGAACTTCTTATAACTACAATATTTAGCTTAAGTAGGCGAATTATCTTAAAATATAATTTGCAATCAGGTGAATATTCTTCTAAACTATAATTGTAAAGGGAAAGGGTGATATCAATAAGCAAGTAACTGCTATATATTTTAACTTTATTTCCTTTGTTTTCCTGCTCGATATTTTTTCCTGTTTGTTAAGAAAATTAACTTAAAAGTTATAAGTGACAGCTGAAAAACCTAAAAAGCTTTCTATATGCTGCTGGACACATGATAAATAATTAGCAGATATGCAAGTTTTTGTTTGTTTTTCACCAATGGGCTAAGCAATATTCTTGGCTCTACTAAAACTGGTAAATTCATTATTAAAGTAAAACTGGTAAGTTAATTATTGAACTATAATATGTAAGTAATTTATTTAAAAAATCTAAATCGAGTACAAATGTCTAACTCAGGATATTTTAACTCCTCGAAGAGTTAATAAGAACAGATTTTACTTTTTGAACATGGTTGTGAAGACTACTCATAATTTCTTATTTAGGTCCTGCATAAAGCTCTCTACTTAGTATTCTATAAATACCTAAACTTGTAAAGGAATGAATGAATGTGAATATAAAAGAATTTCAATGATTGTATAGAAGAAAGTCAATCTTATCTTTTAAAAATGGTGATAAAGGGCATGTGATGGGGAGTCAGCTCTTCCTAAGTTAAAAATTAAAGCTTCACAACATTTACAGTTTTCTAAACTTAAGTATTTCATTTAATTTCTCCAGACACAAGTTTTTCTCATTACAATATTGGAAATCATGATGACTTTTTGCAGTTTACGTGGTAAAATACAGCTTACGTGTATTTTATTCCACAGCATTTGAAATTCTTACGAACACATAAACATGATGATGTTCTGTGTCGGGGAGCTGTGTGTTTGAGTGTCATGGTTCTCTTTGCAGGTGAAGCATACATGCGATTAAGTAGGCTCCCTGAAGCAGAGCATTGGTACATGGAATCATTGAGATCCAAGACTGACCACATCCCTGCTCATCTCACTTATGGAAAGCTGCTAGCTCTAACTGTGAGTTACTAACTGCCTCCCCATTTCAAAAAAGAGTTCTGTCCTTTCAGACTAAGATGATGGGTTTTAAAATACTGGGTCTTCATTAACACAGGCTATTAGGATGCTAATATGGGAACCAGGTTGATAGAACCCTGGATAGAACAAACAGAAAATTATATTCTTTGGCTATGGGATTTGCCAAAGTTAAAATGGTTTACATTTTGATACTGAGTCATAATGGAAGTAATATAGAGAACACCAACTGTGTGATGCTATAACAAATTTATCATAGGATATGTTTAAATATTACCCTCTATATATCAATGTTAATGTTAACCCCAGATTATCTACAATTTATAAATTAATCTGATTCTAGTTAGAAAGATAGAAGACTCTGCATGTGTTTTATCAGTGCCACCTGGCATCCTACTCTTTGGAAATCATTCTATAAGGGAAGTAGTCACTATGTGACTAGCCACTATGTAGTATTCAGTTTAATTTACTTCATTGATATTAATTTGACTCATTATAACATTTTAACTCCCCCCAAATTGTAATTTCATGTGTTACAAATGATAGTAATGTTTTTTTACAAAATAGGAAATTGTGTCTGCGTGTGTGCTACTTATAATAGTACTTATGATAGTGCTTAGGGACTCTTCCTGGCTTTGCTCTCTGGAGAGGTTTTCAGGTGAGGACCTTTGAAGTGCCAGAAATGAAACTAGGGTTAGCAGTATGCAAGGAAAGCACCTCACTGCTGGTAATGTATTTCTGGTCTCATAGGGGGATTTTGCTTAAGTAAAATTTCTGAGTTAAACCAGATAATAACTAGGATTCATCTTCAATTATGGTCTGAATCTATTTTTAATTTTAGTAGACAACCTAATTCCCTTCAAAATATTAATAAAAATCAAGGACACTGATAGGAAAATGATTCCTCTGTGAATTAAATGGAAAGTTATCTTTGAATTAGTTAAAGTAATAATGTTTATTTCCCAGAGAAGATGATGATGATAGATTTAACACCTAAAATTATTATATAAATATTCTAAGATATCACTAAAATGCTGCTAAAAAATTATAGATGCAGCATAGACAAGTCAAATATCACACTTAAAAAAGTCTAGATTTGACCAGAAAGATAGTACAGCAGGTAAAATACTCTCTTTGCACGTTGCTAATCTGGATTTGACCCCTTGCACTTATATGCCCTGAGTAGAGAGCCAGGAGTAAATCCTGAGCACAGTTGGCTGTAGCTCAAACACCCCCTAGTCCTGCCCCCACCCCAACACACACACAAGTACCTAGATGTGTTTAATAAAAGATAACAGATATGCTCTATTGTGTAGCTGAACTGAGAGTATAATAAGAGAGTTTCCCAGGAACTAAAAGATGAAACTTTAACTCCGTACCAGGAAACTAAATAGTAGGCTTACTTACCCAGCAGACAATTGAGAACATTTACTAATCCATGGAAAGGAATTTTGTGCTTGTTTTTATTCTTTCTGGAATAAGAGGCAAAGCTTTAGACTGTTGTGAGGTCAGGATTAAGATGCCAAAATAAAAAAGGAATATTCATAACCTCAGTAATATGATAATGTTCAGTAAATTTGCATACCTATACAAGGCATTGTATAAAGAAAAGAAGGAGATCTGAGTGGAGAATAATAGGAATCTGTACACTGCTCTCTTCCCCTTGACCACAAAGACCCAGCATTGCATTTTGAATTCACTTGCATAAAATTCCTGGCTCAAGAAATCAAATAAGAATCAGTCTACTAAAAAACTCCTGTTGAAAAAAATTACAGTTGATGCTCTTCAGAAGAGCACAATTAATTCTAAACTGATCACAAAATAGAAAGAGTCCTGAAACTAATTTGTCAAAGCAGAGAAAATGACCATATAAAGATTTAGAATGGATAAAAATGAAATCTGACATTTAAAAAAAGAAAGACAACCTGGAGAGACTCAAGATATGAGGATAGCTGGCTTAAAAGAAAGAATCAAGTAGTAAAAACAAGGCTAATTAGTATTAAAAAAAAAAAAGAGTCAGTTCTTTGCCCCATAAACACAGTGCCAGCAATAAGGTTGTCACCTGCAGGTAAAAGTGGAAACTCAATGTGATGGAGTAAGTGACTGAGAATGCTTCAGCAGTCAGAAACAGGTGGAAAGCCAAGGAAACTGAATGAAAGGAGGAATAAATGAAATGTCTGCCGTCAGAAAACTCCATCAGTTTTGTCCTCCTGTCATGAAAAGTAACACAACATTTACACTCCCACTACTGCCCTAGTACTTCCAGGCACATGCCAAGACATTTTTGACTTTTGATCTAAAGAAATCATATTGTAGAGAAAAGGTATCCATCTACATGTGTTTGGAGGTTACCTATAAATGACTTGCTCCTGAACCAGACTGCAGGGTAGAGGTCTGTAGTTTTGAAAACTCCCTTATGCCTAAGGAACTTCACTCAGCATTTTTACTCTTTAAGGTTATTGGTAATATTACAGGAATGGCAAATAAAAAAAAGTAGAACTGAAACAACTCATTAGGAGAGTGAAACTGGAAGTAATATGACAAAATTCCAAAACTTACTTGAGTTGCTAGAAGCATTTCAGAGAGGATGCTGTAAAGGGGTTTTTAATGTGGGGCTGGAGCGATAGCACAGTGAGCGGGGCATTTGCCTTGCACGAGGCCAACCCGGGTTCGAATCCCAGCATCCCCTATAGTCCCCTGAGCACCGCCAGGAGTAATTCCTGAGTGCAGAGCCAGGAGCAACCCTGAGGATCACCGGGAGTTACCACCCCCCACAAAAAAAAAGGGTTTGTAAAGAAAAGTTAAGAAAGAACTTTTAGAAATTAAAAATATTATGGGAAAACATTTGTATGAGGGCAGTAGAAAGGTGAGGAAATCTTTTCATGTGCAAAGAAAATGATGAAAACACATGAAAAGAATTTATGAAAGAAATTAATGTTGGGTCTCATAAGTAGGGAAATAATAGAGAAAGGGATAGAGCATTACTCATAATTGAAGGGTACAAATTGCTATTTCTGACATTTAAAAGATCATAATATGTCAAGTTTAATCAGTTGGAAAAAGTTTGTTTTATCTTTGGAAAGCCATTTCCATTTTCTATTCTGATAGGATGATAATTCACACTCCATTACATAAGAATAGAATTCACATATATCTCTTGCTCCTACTGCTGCATTTTGCATGTTGAAAATATTTTTATTATGTTAATAAATGACTGCTTTCAAAAATTTGTATAGTATGAGATGTCTGATTAACAAAAAATATCATTTAGAAAGGAAAACACTTGGGCTTAAATATACTATAGCACTGCACTGTAGCAATGCCGTCCCGTTGTTCATCAATTTGCTCGAGCAGGCACCAGTAATGTCTCCGTTGTGAGACTTGTTGTTACTGTTTTTGGCATATCAAATAAGCTACGGGGAGCTTGTCAGGGTTGCAGCGATAGCATAGCAGGTAAGGCGTTTGCCTTGCACACGGCCAACCTGGCTGACCCAGGTTTGATTCCTCCAACCCTCTCGGAGAGCCTGGCAAGCTACCGAGAGTAATCTCATCTGCATGGCAAAGCCTGGCAAGCTCTCTGTGATGTATTCGATATGCCAAACACAGTAACAACAAGTCTCACAATGGAGACGTTACTGGGCCCACTCGATGAACAACAAGAGGACAGTGCTACACTTCGTACCCCCATCTTCTAAATATACTGTTTCTGAATATACTATATTTCAGAACATATAATTGTTACCATCACATAGTCATTGTCCCCCCCCTTTTTTTAAATACTGATGCATTTTAAAAATAATCTTTACGTAATCTTTGCACTGCATATTTTTTTTGCAAAAAATAATAAATTGACATGGGCTTTTCATTGATTACGCAGTAAAACATAGTACCTTGACAGGGACACAATTTTGGATATTAAAAAGTAGTTTTTAAAAACTATTTTTAAGTATGTCTGGGGCCTGGAGAGATAGCTCAGCAGGTAGGGCATTTGCCTTGCATGCGGCTGAACTGGGTTCGATTCCCAGCATCCCATATGGTCCCCTGAGCACTGCAAGGAGTAATTCCTGAGTGCAAAGCCAGGAGTAACCCCTGTGCATTGCCGGGTGTGACCCAAAAAGCAAAAAAAAAGTATATATATGTATATGTATATGTATATATGTATGTATGTATATATATTTAAGCATCTCTTAAAAGCAGAATTTAAAATTTTTAGCTTACATACAGAAATGAAAATGAGTGGAAGACTTAGACATGAAAATTCAAATTTTTATCACCCCACTACTTTTATAGTTTCTGACTTGCTGATTAGATGAAATACAAACCCAATAATGAAATTACTAAAATCATAATGCCAAAACCTCAAACCATCTTTAACAGTTTCTTTTTTGAATTATGAAATTTGGCAAATTTATAATCCCAGTGGATTCCCTTTGTTTAATTTTGGGTTTCTTGGCTTGGTAATATGCCATTGACTTGACATGGAATTGGCAAGATGGATAATGCCACACATTTTGACTTTGACTACTTCGAATAAAATATATTATTAAATGGAATAGACTGTTATTTTTAAGACATGACGAATTGAAAGGGAATGGTATATTCACTTTTTTGTTAAAACCAAAATTAAGATACATAAACTTAACACACAATTATATTAGAATTAGATTGTAGAATAGCATATCAGAGTTACATTTTACAAGACATATTAGAAAAATATATTTATTATTGTGCTTTTAATGTATCCAGTGAAATTACTCCATTGTACATTTTTGTGCAATTTTTTAAAAAGAATTTGTATAATATTTATGGTATTTCAGAAAGTTCAAAGGGATTTAGTTTTCCAGAAACCTTTGACAAATTCCATAGATCAAATCCTTTTTTGATTTCTCTGCCAAAAATGCCCTTTCCTTCTCTGCCAGCTCAAATTTTATTTACTCTGTGAAGTCTTGCCTTGAGTCTTTCAAGCAATTATTTTTTCCTTTCTC